ATAGGTGCACCTCCCCTGGAGTCTGAGGGGGGCCCAGTGGGGGATCTGATCTGTTCCCTGCTCAGGACAATGGAGGCAAAGAAGTCGTTAAATAAGTTAGTTTTGTCGTCTGGTGTGACGAGCAAATTTCTTAGCTTGTCCTGCAGGGGCCCCACGTTACCCAGTACCTTCTTTTTGCCCCCTATGGATTTAAAAAAGGACTTCTTGTTGTCCTTGATACGGGAAGCTAGTCCCAGTCCCATCTCCGCCTTGGCCTTCCTGATCGCCCCCCTATGGCCCCAAGCAACCACAGTACAGTCCTCCCTGGTGATGGACCCTCCCTTCCATTGGGTGTACGCCTCCCTTTTAGCTAGAAGACGTTCCCGGATGCTTTTGGTGAGCCATGGGGGCTTTTGTGCCCTCCTGCTCCCTTTGATCCGTGTTGGCATTACTTCACTTTGGGCTTGGAGAATTGTCTCCTTAAGGAGCAGCCACTGTCCTTGGACACCTGGCTCCCCTCCCCCTGGGACCTCAGTGCTTCCCTGACTATTCTCCTTAGCTCATTGAAGTCCGCCCTCCTGAAATCTAGGGCTGCTGCCTTGCTGCAGGCCTTTGCCACCTTGTGCTGGATAGTGAATTCCAGCAGGCGATGATCACTGTCACCCAGGTGGTTGAGCACCCACAGTCTCCTCACCAGGTCGTCACCTGTGGCCAGCACTAGGTCCAACAAGGCGTCTCCCCTGGGGGGGCTGTGCACCTCCTGGGTTAGATGGAGGTCCTGCATTTGGGCTAGGAACCTATGTGAGCAGTCAGACCTGGCTGACTGCTCTTCCCAGATGATGTCTGGAAAGTTCAGGTCGCCCATGACAACCACATTCTTTGACCTAACTGCCTCCATGAGCTGACATAAGAATTCCTGTTCTAGCTCTTCCCCTTGGTGGGGAGGTCTGTAGTAGACCCCCACCGTTAAGTCTCTTTCCCCTCGACTGCCTTGTATTCTAACCCAGAGCACTTCAGTGTGCTCCTCCTCTGACCCTGTGCTACTTGATGAGGAAGTGTATTCCTCCTTAATGTAGAGAACCACACCCCCACCTTTCCTCCCTGTCTTGTCCCTCCTGTACAGCCTATAGCCCTTGATATTCACCACCCAATCATGCGCTGGGTCCCACCATGTTTCAGTGAGCCCTAGTATGTCTGTGTTGGTGTCAGCTAGCAGGAGGGTAAGTTCCTCCTGCTTGCTTCCCATACTATGGGCGTTTATGTAGAGGCATTTGAGGCCTCCTGTGGATGTGTGCACTGGCCCCCTAATCACAGCAGTGCCCTGGCCCCTGTTGCTTACCTGTGTATGTTCCGCTTGTCGGTCTAGGCTGGGCTGTACTTGTGAGTGCTGCTTGGTTTAGCGGTCCAAGGCTTCCTCCGCCCTCATCTTCCCTTTCCCCTGACGAGCCTAGTTCAAATGGTTGAGGAGATATGGCCTAAACTGGTTCTGCACTATTTTGAGGGACCTGATTGTACTGATTGGCTAGCTAGTAGCCAAGAGTCACATGATCTAAAAATCTAGGATTGGTTACTCTGTGCTGTGGCATATGTAAAGACCTTCAATTAAAAAAAAACAACCTTGGCCCCAGTAGTTAATGGTAAAATTCCTATGGAATTTGCCTGTGCCAGGATTTTGTTCCTTGTTTCTGGACACACTCAGGGCACATTCCTCCGCCGTTCTGCTGCTGTGCAGATGCCTCACACAGAAGAGACAAAGCTCAGCTGGAGCACTTTTAGATCGCTTCCACAGGTATTAGGAGAGAGCGAGTGTGAAGGGGAGAAAACTTTTTTTTTTTTCAAAAACAGAATACTACAATAGCCAAGATGGCTACATGGTTACGGCTGTACATCTTCTGGATGAGGAAAAAAAAAGGGGACGTGGACAACAGTTACCCTGTGAGGTGGAACAGCAATGCTTTTAAAACTACATACGTTATCAACGTGCTGCGGCTTTGAAGGCTACAATGCAAGTTTCTAGAAAAATACAGGTGGCCAAATACCTTATTCAGAAAGCACTTCCAGGGATCCCAGTTTGAGTTGGGGGAAAAAAAAAGATCAGACTACTCCAGGGAAAAATAATTCTCACTGCAAACCTCATCTTTAGTTAATGAATGCATTTATATATATGTAAAAACAAAACAAACAAATAATCCCCCCCCTTGCTAACTACAAGGAACTCTTGATGGTCATCCATATCTAAGACAGACATGCTTTCTGCACATGAAGGCCAGTCCTGCTGCTGCACACAAGTGGCGAGACCCCTGAGCTCACAGCTGCAGGATGGTACTTACTCAGAGATGACTCACCATTTTTAAATTAATATTTAGGAGTAATTTAAACAATAAGGATTATTACTATAAGAAATAGTTTCTTAAGTTGTCTCTTAAAGGATATAGAGATGTTGGCTCTTCAGGTACCCTCCAAAGGTGCTACTTTGCAAGTTCAAATTTAAAGCACTTTGCTCCAAGATGCCAGGTGTGCAAATGTGTATATTTAATATTGCACATAAAAATCATCTAGCTCTGTAGTGAAAACAGGACTGAGAAACAGTGTTCTCCATAAAGAACAAAAAAGACCTACCTGTACATATTAAATGCTAATTTAAAGAATGCCAAGATTATTCAAAATCTAAGCACATAATACTGACAGAAAAATGTTAAATTGGACAATCTACATATAAATTACATTTGTAAATACTTGTACAAATTATAAACATTTAATACCCTTAATTTCACAAATCAGCTACATCACTGTCAAACAAAGGATCTGTTCAATGAATTAAAAAGATTTTCTCCCCATAAAGAAAAAAAACCCTCACCACCCAGGAACAAAAAGGGAAAAAATCTGTAGTCTTTGACAAAGCACTAGAAAGAGTTAAAGCATTTCAGCTTAGAGAGGTAGTGCTAGCCACATCCACCTAGAAACTCATATTTAAGCTATGATGAACAACATAGTAAAATGTAGAAAGACTATAAAATTTACAAAAATAAATAGTTTTGAATGTTTTAGAAAATGCAAGATACTTTGCTGACAAGTGTCTCGAGTCTGGTTTTCCAACCAAAGTGAAGAAAGATTTGTGTCTCAGTATTTTTAAAATATACCCATATCTCTAGTAATGCTGTCGGATCTGTACTATCCGAACATGCAACTCAATGTATGCCTACTTGGCATGCATTTCAATATTAAAAATAAAATCTAGTCTTAGTAAGAGACCACCTTATATGAAATTCATTTTACATGTAAATTCTTCAGATAAATTAAAAATTGCACATAAAGTTTATTCAGAGGGGAATGAGGGCTGGGAAGGGCATGTGCATATTTCCATACAAACACTGTGGAAGGAAAAAGATGATTGCACAATTTCTTAAATAAATATTTCATTTTTAAAAAAAATATCTGCCACTTGTTTGCTTTATAACTTTTGGAAATATTTTAAAAGAATCACCCAGGGACAATTGCATTTTTCATTTTAAGAAAATTCTTTATAAAATTTTCCCAGTGGCTTTATCGTCAAACCATAGTTAAGTGGCAGTATAGAAAAAGTATCTTTGGGATAAATAATAAATATCAGGATCCAACAAGAATTTCCATGATGTGGTCCAGCTCACTCAGATCTGTTCTACATATCTGAATATTGTTTGTGGAGGAAGAATTGCAAGTTGGGAAGGTTTTCAACGTTTCTTCTGTAGTAGCAGGGGGTAATCTGGATGGCATCAGTGGAGGACAGCAGAAGTCCGAATCATACATTGAAGTGTCAATATCTTCAAAGATGTCGTCTATAATCAAATCCTTCAAGTAACTGGTGGAATTTGAAATTTCAAAGGAACCAAACACACATTCAGCTCCCTTCAACTCTTGCCTATCATCTTCTAGTTTTAGACCTACATTTTCCGGAGACTTTGGCTGATCATCTCCAGCAGGAACCAAACAGGTAGGTGGGCTTATGTCTTCCATGAAATCCAAATCCTTCAGAATGGAGGAAATGGCAGATGACATGTCATCATCTGAAACCATGAGCAGACCATTTTCAATTGGCTCCTCTGCAGACCGCGAGTCACAACAGTTAGACTCTTGTTGGTTAACACCTGAAAGCAACTGTGCAGCAATTCCAGCTGAATCAACTCCTGTGTAGTTTTGAGAATGAAGGCCAATGCCACTGCAGACATTAACTGGCTGCTGGCTAGTCTCTTGTCTCATTTCTTCTTGAATTTGCCTCACTGTGTTGGCTATGAGGACAGAGCGGTGCAAGTCTGGTTCCACCAGCATTTTGTATGTTTGTAACTTGGTGAGGCACATGTTCAGCACTAACTGCCTCTTAAGTGGATATGTTAGATTCCGACTGGAATCAAAGGCACTTGAGAGACCAGCCATGTTTTCCTCATAGTCACTCAGTTTGCGTTTCAGACCTCTCCCCAACATGAACCTGGAAAAGAAAAAAATGAAGTTAATGCTATATGCTTTTAAATATCATCACTGGAAATCATCACACTTCTTTTGCAAACCTACGTTCCCAGTAATGGGCACTGTAGACCAGTGGTTCTCAGCCAGGGTGCCACAGCACCCTGGGGTGCCTTGAGATCCTTTCAAGGGTCTTGCAAGATGCCACAATGTTAGCACTGTTAAGTTTACATATAGTATTCACAAGATAAACCCAGAGGTTTCAAATAGAAATCCAGAGTTGTGGTCTTCCTGAGTTCTTTGCAACAGAAACTGGTCTACTATTTCTCTGTAAGCAAAAAAATGTAGAAACTAAGAGCCTGCATTTTCTAAGGGGTGCTTCAAGTCTATCCAGGAATACTTCAAGTCTAAAAAGATTGAGATCCACTGTGAAGAGAATTTGCATGAAAGTTACTCAGTGCTAGTGGAAACTGAGTGCATAAAGTCATTTCAGATCAGAATAAAATCCCCAAGAAGTTTCCGCTAGCATGATGTAGATACAGTATTTCTTACCCACGATTACTATTCTATATCAGACAATAGAATACTCCAACTATACAATAAACTATACTTCATTCATTACAAAGGATTGCAAAATTGATTAAAAACCAAGACAGTTTACAGCTGGAGATTTATTTATTTTTAATCAAATGTTCAGCAGCTTTGCTGGGCCACGTATTTTGGACTACAGTGGAATCCATACACTTTATGGGGTTAGGTCCTTACCCACCAAGACGACGGGGGGTTGTGAAGTAATAAAAGGTATACAAGCAGTCTCAACTTGCAACGTTTCGAGTTACATTTATAAAATGACACCCTGTTTCAACTTCAACATCGGTTTCGACTTTACAATGCCTGATCCGACCCAATGCCACGCCAGCGAACAAGTCTGCTGCATCGCCCATCTCCCTGGAGAACATCTGGCCAAACTTCCTTAGACATTTTCTTTAGAGCAGACAAGGCTCCAAAAAGAACCTGCAGCCAAGTGTCCTGAGAAAAGTCCAACCAAGAGCCCTCCAAAAAGTCCAGCAAAGTCACCTCAAAGAAGTCCTTCCAAATCAATGTGATCACTATTTACAATATAAATACATTAATGTTGCTATATTACTCATCTATAATTGATGGAGTACAAAGTTCTGGGTTATTTTTGGTGAATATAGGGTATCAGGCTTTGGTTTAGGAACAATCCTCTGTTTATAACATTGCTTCCTATGGAAAAAATCAGTTCCGAGTTACGTTTCAATTTAAGATGCAGTTTTCAGGAACCAACTGTGTCCTAAGTCCGAGGACTGCCTGTACTACAGTTACAGAAAATGGCTGCAGAGGGAAAAGCCCTACTTCAAAGGACCCCATTTTCTTATCAGTGGTGCAGGACTACAGCTGACTGGAGAAACCATACCCTTTGAGGTACAAAGTTGCAGCAAACAGCTGTACAGATCATCTGTCACTCAGCAACCTGCTGTGAATTAAGTGGGTTTCAAATCACCTGTATGTGAATGATCTACAGCATAACTCACTCCTTTCACATGAGTCCAACAGAATTAAGGAGGGATTCAAGAAAGATAAGGAAAAGGATCATGATTATCCTGCTGAATAGGGAGGTTTATGTTTAGAATTCCCTTAGTTAAGCAGAATAATTATTTTCATTATAATTCACCTACTAGTAGATACCATATTTCAATTCAAAAATTATTTTCAGAGTACCCTGAAGAAATATCTGTAAGGGTCAAAATTTCCCTAAGTCTTCTCTCTCTATTTTTTCCGATTTGAAAAACAAGCTGGTTTGAACAGAAACTGAACTGTGCAGTTAAAATAACTTTTCCTGTTAACCACACACACTTGTCCCATACACTTGCAAAATGGACTCTGAAGCTTGGTGTGTTAAGTCAGTAGCTTGAGTATGTCAGTCACTACATTTCAAAAGCATGGTTAGATAACCTCCAAGCAATAACTAAAAATAGGACACACAATAGAAAAAGCTGTGTCCAGAAAGGCTCACATACACACCCAATATGAATGCTGTTTAACGCATGCAATAAGTACCTATCAGCCCAAATGCCTAGTCCTTTCCCAAATGCATATTTCTACACAAATATTCTACCTCAAAACATTCGTAAGAGATTTCAAACCATTTATCTGCTTATGCCAATATAAATATTCAAGCAGATTAAAAGGTAAAAAAGGCAGAGGAAAAACAGCTATGAATTGATCCAGAGACAGCAGGCAGAAGAATTTGCTTGCTACAGCTGCTTTACACTGCTGCTCAAGTTTTCTGCCTGAAGACAGGCAGTTATTGCAACAATGAGCCAGAGAAGCAGTTTGATTTAAAGACAAATAATTTTTTTGCAAAGACTATTCTCAACTTTTCAAACTTAAGAAAGAAATAAAGCAGCCTGGAGCCCCACTTATTGAAGAATGGCCAAATGGGAAGTGCAGGGAGATGACCTGTGAAAACTGAAGAAGGCAGGAGGCGAGGCAGGGAACAGGACTTGCTGCTTCTTCCTGAAGGTACTGGGCAGATATGGAAGTCACCGGAGATTAAGACTGAAGGCTTCTGCTGAGTAGGGAAAGTGGTTTGGGAGGAACCAGGTTTTGGCTGTTAATCTCAAATCCTGCAACCCTGAGAATGAAGATAATTGCCTAGATTGTCTAGAATGAGAGAATCTCCACCCCAAAGCAAAAATCCTGACAATACACACAGCATTCAGATGTCTCTCTTCCTTAAAAAAAAAACAAAAAAACCCAAAAAATCCAGGACAATTCTGAATCTCCTGAGCTCTGTATTTTTACTTATCAAAAGTAATGTCATACTGGCCAGTGGGAAGTCTAAACTTTGTGCCTACACCATTCCAATCCCTGGGCTTACCAGGAAACTTGTCCTACTCAACTGGTTGGGGGCAGAAGGCACTGCCCAGGTTATCAGGAAAGTTTCAGTTTGAGAAGATCAGGAATGTGCAATATATTCCCTGAAAGATCCTTAAGCCTTATATGATATCAAAGAAAAGCATGAAAAGTTTTGAGATCTTCCAGGAAGCTGAAGAGGATGAGAAGGGTCTGGGGGGAGAGGGGGCCAGGGCAGGGAAGAATAATGAAAATCTCAACCCACTTCAACTATAGTACACACACCTTTAGAGCAGACACTTTGCTGAAAAAAAGTATTTTGGGGGAAGTTAGAAACAACCTTAGGACATCATCTCTTCAAGCCCCCTGCTGAGGGGAGGACATCGCTGCCTAAAACCATTTGAGATAACCTGAACTTAAAAATGTCCAAAAAGGCAAAGTCCCAAACCAGAAAGTTCTTCCTAATATCTCATCCAAATATCCTTTCTTATGGTTTTAAGCCCATTTATTTTTGTCCTCTCCTCTGTGGACACAGAATGACCAAACACCATCCTCTTTTATAAAGTCCCCTTTGTATTTGCAGAATTACAAAATTCCCCTCACACTTCTCTTCTCCAGTCTAAGTAATCCCAAGTCTTCCTTGTATGTCATTTTTTAGACTTCTCATGTAAAATCATCCCTTCTCTCATACATTT